GAACTAGCCATCAAAAAGTTGGACCTGGAACTATGGCTTAATTGATAAGACTGCTATCCTTGCAGCTTTGAGTGAATCAAAAAGCTAAGGGATAGCTCCCAGGTCCTGTATTCACAGTTCAAGCCCCAGGAATGGCATACGCACAAAAGAAATACATTTTTATGTGTCTTGCTGGAACATGCAGAGGAATATGAGGCTCGTTATTCATTATGATTTTATTTGCTGACAAAGAACATCTGTTGTGTGTGCACCAGTCCTGGGGCTTGAACTCAGGGCTGGGTGCAGTCCCTGGATTTTTTTTTTTTTTTTTTTTGCTCAAGCCAGTACTCTGCCACTTAAGCCACAGCTCCATTTCTGATTTTTTGGTACCTAACTGGAGATAAGAGTCCCATGGACTTTATTGCCTAGGCTGACTTTGAACTATAATCCTCAGACCTCAGCCTGCTGTGTATCTAGGATCACAGGCATGAGCCACCAGTGCCTGGCTCCAAGAACATTAAAAAGTATATCATCGCCAACATCATGCATTTCTTTAAAGCATTCTATTAAATGAAGAATGAACATACCAAAGTGAGGGAGGGAGGTGTGTTTGGAAGTGTGGGTGAGAATGTTCAAAGGGCTGACATGGATCAAGATACACCATATTCATAAACTGCTTTGTTGAATGGCAATTCCTTTGTAACTTACTTAAAGATAATATATTATCTTTATATGTAATATATGTCTTTATATATAATATATAATAAAATTTATATAAATAAATATATATATAAAGATTAAAAAATTTGTTACCTTATTTAAGAGTACTCATGCCTGGGGCATTCACAAGGTGACATATTTGCATACCTCCCTGAAGGTGACTTCATATTCTTTGGAAGAAAAGTACAATACAAAGTGACACTGTGATTAAATCTTTAGATCGTGTCCACCACAGGGGATTCTAGAGCAGATGCATGTGGGTTTCCTTTCTAGCATACCAATCAGCGGGGGCAAAAGAGGGCCAGCCTGGGATGAAGGAGACCGCAGAGACTTCTGCATCCCTGGAATTCTAATAGTGCTCAGAAGTCTGGGCTTAGCAGCATCTTCTGAACCACCATGTGGAGCAGGGTTATGCTTCTGAAATACCCTTTGCTGCTTCTGCTGAAAAATATATGGCACTTCAAAATAAGTGGCTTCATGGAAAAACAAAAGGACACTTCCCAAAGTCTGAATATAGCTAACACAGAAATAAAACTATCTGAACCAATTGTTGGAAGAAGAGAGGGTTATTTCATCTTGTCCTTTTCTGTCTGGTGATTGCTAGTCATCTTTTAAAATGCAGCTCAGCCACTGCCTTACTGATATGCAATGGATTGTATCAATGTACACCTGGTATTCACCGGAAAGGTTAATTAAGTCAGTGAAGGAAAACATCTACTCTGTGGTTGTTCTCCATAAATAGCTTGGTTCCTGACATCTGGATATGCTGAGCAAATGCCTGTGGAATAAGAGAAGATGTGCACAACTGGTCTTATACAACAGTAAGGGGGGAGCACTGCAGGATGTTATGTGTAAAAGACTAAGAAGTAGTCGGATAAGCCAGCCAGAGAGTTTGTACTTAGAGAAATGCCATGGTGTGATTCAGTAATGCTTGCCTTGATAAATATATCAATTGAGAAACTATTGTTCAATGGAGTCAGATAGACTTTCTTCTATAGTGTCATGACAGTGTCATTCAAAATCAGTTTTCCCAATGCCCAAGCTGGACCAGTGCAGAGTGACCGAGGGGACTGTAGCATCTTCCCCGTGCTTTCATCCACCTAATATGCTGAAGTTCTGGTGAATGGAAGCAAGTACAAATCCAAAAGGAAGACAGATTTAAAGGTCTTTAGTGACTGGTTCTTTTTTTGGGGGGTAGGGGAGGGTCCAGTCGTGGGTCCTGAACTCTGGGCCTGGGCGCTGTCCCTCAGCTCCCACAGCACCACTTCCGGCTTTTTTTCTTTTTGCTTATGTGGTGCTGAGGAATCGAATCCAGGGCCTCATGCATGCAAGGCAAGTGCTCTACCACTGAGCCACCTTCCCAGCCCCGTGACTGGTTCTTAGGACCAAAAAAGTTTATTATCATAATTATGTACCTATGATGAAATAAGGTGAAAAATTTTAAGCTATCCATAACCCCCAGTTACTCCCTTTTTACCTGCCCCCTTTCTAAAAACAAAGATTATGCTGGCTAAAATATGTTCAACAACTTCTGTGCAAATCCAGGGGGCACCATTCATACTGAAGACAATGTAAGGATGTCTCAAAGTGGGCAATCAGTGCTTCTAAAGGGGATGATTTTTGTTGTTGTTGGTCATGGGGCTTGGACTCTGGGCCTGGGTGCTGTCACTCAGCTCTTCAGCTCAAGGTGAGAACTCTACTACTGGAGCCACAGTGCCACTTCCAGTTTGGTTTTCTGGTGGTTAATTGGAGATAAGAGTGTCATGGCCTTTCCTATCCTGGCTTCGAACCGTGGATCCTAAGATCTCAGCATCCTGAGTAGCTAGGATTACAGGTGTGAACCACCAGCTTCTGGCTTTTTTTTAAAATCTTAAAATTTACTTATTTGTGCTGGGCATTGGTGGCTCATGCCTGTAATCGTAGCTTTGCAGGAGGCTGAGATTTGAGGACTGTGGTTTGAAACCAGCCCTGGCAGGACAGTCTGTGAAACTCTTATCTCCAATTAACTACCAAAAAAGAAAATAGAAATCAAAGAGCCTAAAATGGAGCTGTGGCTCAGGTAGAGTCCTACTTTTGATCAAAAGAAGCTCAAGGATGGTGCCCTGGCCTTGAGTTTAAGCCCTAAGGTTCCCCTCTCCTGCCCACAATTAAAATTATTTATTGCAAGAAATATAAATTTCTAATCATGTTACATGATTTTGCACAACTTTAGGGTAATGTAACAGGGTATTTGTAACACAGAGTGGACTAAGGCTTAATATTTACTAGATTAGATGTATATACATATTCCCTTAGGTTTATATCTTAGTAAGGATTTACTGAAAAAGTTAAGAACACTATTCAATACATTGTAGGAAGAAGTTGAGTTTTTGGATAATAAGTTAGAAAGGCAAAAGCAGGCCCAGAAGACTAGAGCTGGACTCATGCTCACAAAAAGGTCAAATCTCCTGAAAAACAGGTCACTGACATCCAAAAGTCACAATCACAGGAGTGTGCTGAGTTGGGTGTGAGCTGAGTTGGAATGTTATCTTCATTACTGGCGAGTGACATGACTCTTGGCTAACTATTAAATGATCCCTCTGAGCAGTTTCTTTCTCTGTAAGGTGAAGGTGATAAACTGTGTTTACAAAGGCTGCTTTAAAAAACTAAGAAATAGATATCAGAGGGGTAAAGAGTTTTGTGGAAGGCAGCATGCCAACACAAATATTAATTCTCTAAAAATCACAAAATAGTCATATTTTACAGTATAAGAAACAATTGTATCTAGGACTTGTGTCCAGGATCATATTTCATGCACTCAGAATGGGACAGGTATAGAAACATTAAAGGGGCCAGATCATAGTGATCCCAGAAACAAAACTTTTATGTCTTAGAATTGTGATAAGTGGCAGAAAGAAAGACTAATCAAAGCAGTAATTCATCAGGGTGTGTTGGTATAACTGTTATCAAGGAGAAACAACTGTTTAAATAAGATAAATGGAATTCATTAAGGGCATATGTGTTGCCAACAAATTACAACATGCTTCACACAAACTTCATTTTGGGTTCCCCTTAGGAATCCAGGAACAGTTAATATTTATTTCAGTATAAATCTTTTATTTTGTTCCTTCATCAAGAAACAATTAGCCCACACAATAGACCTACAACCAAACAAATACAGATTCCCAAAATGATGAACTGAGACTTTAGATATCTGGTCTACCCTCCATGTTACATATGGGGAAATCAAGTTCTACAGAAGGTGGAAGTGACACCTACAATCACAACAGACAAAACCAAATCTACTACTTAATATCATTTACTTGAGCTCTCGAGAAAAGGAATCTTATTTTTCTCCAGTACATACGCTAAAAGTTTCACCTTAGAAAAAGGGCATGCATCCCAACTCTCCATCTTCTGGGGCTCCGAAGGTAGTGGATCTTCCACTACTTATAGGACTGGGCCAATGATTGTGGGAACACATCAATTACGAACAAAGAATAGGGATTCTAACACAAATTCAGATGAAAGACAGAGTTTAAAGAAAATCTTTAACATATCTGGGGTGTGGAATCTTCAATTATTTGATTAGAGTGAATCTGATGCATTTTCAGGAAAAAAACACCATTTTTTTTCAAAACCAGGAAAATAAGTCAATGAAAAGAATGATGCTATAAAAACTCTTTCCCAATTCACAGAGTGATTGTCAAGATTTGTATGTTTTTTGCAATTTTAATTCCTTGAAAAGTCTTGCCCTCCAAAAGTACCCACTCAATGTTGTCCATATGGTGTCACTAACCCCATAACCTTGTCTTATAGCACTCACCAGAGCTTGGCTCTGGGTTTCACTCAGGAAGAAACCAAAGACAAGCTATTACTTGAAAGAAAAGGACAATATCTTTGGAATTTTTATATTAGTAAGTTTTAAACATTCTGGGGGGGGGGAAGAAAAAAGGACTCCCCTGACTCTCCCCCACCCACAAGAAAGAAAACCTAGTGTTGTGCAATGAAATTATAGAAAAGGCCATAAAGAAACCAGATGGATAGGTTTTTCTAATAAAGGTATAGGATTGTTCTCATAAGACAAATAATCTAGTTCCATGACTTTTTCTTCTAAAAAGATCAGCGTTGGCTTCTGACTGCAAATCAACTAGTGTGTCTAGTTTTAGTATACAATGATGTCCCTAGGATGCTTCCAATGCTGGCTTGTTCTGAGTATTTTGATTCTTTTATTTAGTAGTAATTATGTCACTGAACATCTGTTGATATAAAAGCACAACTAAGAAAACAGCACGAATATAATCATGTAAGTGTTCCCTTACCTCCCATAATTTTGGACTGGCAGTTAATAAACTCTGGCTTCCTGTCAGTGAGGTACCTCTGGCACGTGTGGTGGAGGATCTGGAAGAAGGTGCATTTTTCTGAGGCTGTGCTAGCCACCCACTGGTCAAAAGCATTTTCAAACAACAAATCAAACTCTGCAGAATCCTGGAAAAGACAATGAAACCACTACTGGTCTCATTTCATTAAAACAAAACAAAACAGAAACCCAGTGCTTAGTCTGTCAAAATGCAAAAAGGGGAAAATAAAGTTGTAGAACCAATCATAAGGTTCATCTTAACTAGGACCCAAGTGAAGAGGGAGTCCACATTTCTCTATCAAACAAGATGTAAATCCTGTTTGAACCTAAAAAGCCAATAGTACAGAAGCCAAAACAGCCTAACTATTGAGTTACATCAGAATCTGACTGTGTGTAATTACTCCAATTACTTGAAAGAAGGTATTAATCTTGTCCCTAAAGTTCTGTAGGAAAAGATTTTTGTTTTTTTTAATTTTAGTACATAATAACAATTTACATATTCTTCATTATTGAGGTATTTGCTCATGTATGTGTATGTGTATGTGTGTGTATGTGCATGCGTAAAAGGGATTGGGTACATAAATAGCTATATCATAAAATACCTTATTAAATCCAAAGGAATCTTAACACATATTTTGCTTGATTTCTGGTAATAAGTGTTGGTAGATGATCTTTGTCACTGGTGACATTAGGAGCTAAGTGACACTTTGATGAATGGTGATAATGTTTTGACCATCATCAAGAAATATCTTGCTAAGAATGATTAAAACCACCACTACCACTATCAAGGTTAAAGTGTCATCAGGAGAAGAGAATTCCTCTGCTCAGCCCTGGAAAATCCACTTACCCGGTTAGGATCGATACCATTAACCTGGCGAAGCTGCTCAAGCATCCACTGTGATCTCCGAACGAAGGATGTGGAGCCCTCAAACTGTTTGACCTTCGTGATAGACGCCTGTGTGGGTTTCTTGTTTGTCACTGCCAAGAAAAGACCAATCAGATGAGTAGATGTGCAAGTTGGCTTACTTCCTCATTCTATGTGTTTCTATATAACATCTACTGTGAATATGCAGAGGGAGGGAGAAGGAGGGATGTGAGGGGAAAGGAAAGGAAGGGAGGAAAGGAAAGAAGAGAGAGAGAGAACAGGAGAGGGAAAGAGGGAAGGAGGGAGAAGATGAATGGCTATGTGTTTCCTGAAAGAGGGAGTGCTGAAAAGCTCTTAACAATAGCCCTTATCCAATCAAATTGAGATCGGCTTAAGTGAATACCACCAATCCCTGGTGATAGGCTAGAAGAGGTTAAAAGAGCACAATTACAGATTGTAGGGAAAACTAAGTAGATACAGGGCTGACAGGGATCTGGAAGGTTTCCTAGGAAGGCCACCTGTTCAGGGAAATGAAGATTGTTAGTTTTCTGGGGGACTACAATGTGTATTCCTAATTTTATACTCCAGGGCAAGTATCTGAGATTTCAACTTTAAGAATACTTCAGTCACTATATGTGTATGTGTGTGTGTGTGTGTGTGTGTGTGTGTGTGTGTGTGTGTGTGTTCAAAAAAAAATATATATATATGCTCACAAATACAAGCACATCTTGGCTTTATCATATCATAACGTTTGTGTCTAGCTTGGCATCTGATGATGACTGTATTTGACATTCTGGACACACCCCAATATGAGTTCCTAAGGTCACTACACCTGCAAGACCAGGACAGCCCTTCTTTCTGCCTCAGGCAGATGAACAAGCCTCACCCCTCACCTCAAGTACCCATGGAGAAGCCTCCAATATCTCTCCTACTTGGTGCTTTAAAGACAAGCATGGTGGGGGGCTGGGAAGTTGGCTCAGTGGTAGAGGGCTTGCCTCGCATGCATGAGGCTCTGGGTTCAATTCCTCAGCACCACATAAGCAGAAAAAAGCCGGAAGTGGCACTGTGGCTCAAGTGGTATGAGCGGTAGCCTTGAGCTGAAGAGCTGAGAGACAGCGCCCAGGCCCACAGTTCAGACCCCAGTTCGGACCCGTCCCCCTCCAAAAAAGAAAAGCATGGTGGGAGAGATAATTAAGAGCTGTAAGGGCTTTCTTCAAAGTTCCTCCTGAGCTTTGGACATAAACTGTAGTAAGATTAAATAGAAATGAAGCCTGGGGAGGAGATAGAGAAAGTGACAAGCCCTATTGGTTGGAATGAATTTAACACTAATCACTACCCTGAGGGGAACTGTGGCATATTCTTCCTTTGTTTCCAATTACTATGCAGATGCTTAACAGACAGGAAATCATCATCATCATCATCATTAGTGGTACTAGAGTTTGAACTCAGGGCCTTACCTTTGCTAGACAGGTTCTCTTATTGCTGAATAATGACTCTCACTCTGGCTTGTGATATTTACTTTTGAGATAGGGCCTCACTTTCTGCCTGGATGCACAACAGGATGTGATCTACCTAGTTTATACTTGCCCTTGTAGCTAGAGTAACAGGTATATGCTATCATATCTAGCTCTCAGTTGAGAAGTCTGGAGATAAATTTTCTTCCCTGGCCTGCCTCCTGACAATCTCAGACTTTCCAGTAACTAGGATTACAAGTGTGAACCATTTTTTAGCACTTGGCTTAAAAGAATTCTTGACGGATGAAGGACAGAAAGCAGGTGATAAGCAGGTGGTAACCAACCCCTTAGGTTCCTTAATCCCATGGTCCAAGGCAGTTTTGGCTCCTGAGTCGTGAGAAGAGATATGCTGTAGACATTATGGGAACCTCTGGTCCCAGCACTGACAAGAGTCTTTATGGCCTCAATACAATCTTCTCCTTTTGCTTAAACCAGAATTTAACAATTGAAGAAAAAACGTCAAATAAAGCTTTAGCTGTGACCGATTATATATATTTGGCTAAAACTCTTTGAAATATTCCATACCAATTACATTCACTTTTGTGGTTAAAAAAGTCATTATCCCTTCATTACCCATGATCATAGGAAATTTTATCATCCCATAACACAAATAGTCTCTCCCAACAGGCTCTAGGCCTGTTATGTGCCACTGGAAATAACCGTTCACCTAAATAAATTCAGGCAATTATTACTAGTGTGCCCAGGGTGCTGTCCATCCATTTATTTGATTCTGTGTGTGTGTATGTGTGTGTGTGTGTGTGTGTATGTGTGTGTATCTCCTATGACACAAATGTGATACCTTAGAGGCCTCTCTGAGAGTTGTTGTGTGGTGTTACATTTTAATATTAAAAGAAACAACACACCTGGAATATCTTCAGGGCTAAAATGTGCTTAAAAGATTAAAGAATGCTTTTCAATAACAGGAAAACGTGGGTTCCTGTATTAGATACTTTCCCACCCACCCTCAAGAGGATTTCCTCCCTTGTTTATGTAAATCTCAGGACATTTCAGCATCCTGGGAAACTTGCAGGCTTTCCTTCTAACTCCAGTTAGAATTCTTACAAACTCCTATTTTTACTTCTGGTCTGTTTGTTTCCAAGAAGTTTATTTCATTGTAAATGCTCAAACACAATGTCGGATCGCTGTATAGTCCTGGCATGTTTAACATTTACATTGTAGAAAGGCCAAGTTTCATTGGAAGTTTGTCACTAAAATGAGACGAGCAGGAACCCCACCCACAATGACAAATTTCCCCAGGGAACTCCTCATCGTGGAACATGCTATAAATCCCCTGTTTATACCACAGACAGTGATACCCATCCATTCCTGCCTTTTCCCCCTCTTATTTTACTGCTCACCCAGCTCTTGGTATCTAGCTAGTTTTCCTGGGCATTCAGCCCAGCTTGGTTTAATTTTTGTTTATTGCTATTATCACCAACATCCTAGCTTCTGTTTTGAAGCAGGTGCCTTAGAATTATATTATTATATACACATTATATAGAATTAAATAGAAACTTTCCCTTTCTGAAAGCAAAACACTTACACTAACATACACTGACAAGACATCTTGAATACCATACTTAAAGAAACATGATGGCTCAAGCTTTTCCTTATTTGGTGTTTTAGAGTCTACAGCTGATAAATAATAACAGAGTCACTCAAATTCCAGATGTCTAACGAAAAACAGTAATTTATCTTCTCCTTTCAAAGGGGTGGTAATCGAAGGCACTTCTGGAAAATGCAGCTTGATAAGGGACCTCCAGATTATAGATTCCCAAATTCACTATTTTCAATGACTTTAAGGGCTATTCAATGGGGACATTTGTGTAATACATTTAATAACTGTGAAGGATAGGCAGCTATCAGGCATTTCGAAGGCTGTAGGTAATATTTCAGAGCACCCAGATTCAGGGCATTCCCCGACGCTCACCTCTGACTGCACACCAGAGCCACCTAGGAGTTGCTACAGCACACTCACTGAACATTGAGACTAGGATCCTTCGGGGGTGTACCCCTGACACACACACACACACACACACACACACACACACACACACACACACACACATTTTGTCTTCCCACTTCTTTCTGAGGCATACTGATTGCTGAAAACTGCTGAACATATATATACAGTTACCCATTTAGGAAATATTTACGGAACATCTAGGTTTTGTGTGCAAACTAAGTTATAATTTTAACCAAGAACTTGGGAGCAGAGTAATAATTACACAAAAGATCCTGAAGTATAGCTGAAGGATAAGTGATACATTATTGGTCAGCTGAGAAATATGGGAAGCTGTGGGAGGTAGACATATGGCAGGCAGTGCATCATTCATTCTGTCTAGGAACTTGCACAATCTTCTACAAATGGGACTGGGATCAGCTTGTCCAATTGAACTTAAATACAGGAGGAACTCAGTGCCATTCCAAAGCCTTTAGAATAAAATACAGGTCACTTAACCTGCAAAAGTCTCTCTAAGTTCATTTCATTCCACATTTTTTGTCCACCAAGTTTTAGCTTCTTTTGCTCCTCTGAATAGCAATATCTTCCTACTCAAGTCCCTCTGCACACACAGAGAAATGCCTTCATAGAAATGCCCTCTTCCGGGGCTGGGAAGGTGGCTCAGTGGTAGAGTGCTTGCCTTGCATGCATGAGGCTCTGGGTTCGATTCCTCAGCACCACATAAGCAGAAAAAATTTTTAAAAAAAGCCGGAAGTGGCACTGTGGCTCAAGTGGTAGAGTGCTAGCCTTGAGCTGAAGAGCGCAGGGACAGCGCCTAGGCCCAGAGTTCAGGCCCCAGAACCGGACATAAGAAATGCCCTCTTCCCACCCGACTCCTCCCCCCCCCACCAAGTTGTATACTTTATTTCCAACTTAATGTCTAGTGAGTCTTATTGCTGAATTAGTTTACCCTTTGTCCCACTTCTTCTTCCCTACTTTCTTCTTCCCTGAAAATGAGGGAGGATAACACTGTTCAAAGAGGAATGTATCAATAACAGACTTATGTAACTGCAACCCCTCTGTGTATCACCTTCACAATAAAAATTTAAAAACAACAACAAGAAATGTCCTCTTCCTTGTTTTCCATAGCTGCCTCTTCTTTACTATTTAGATTTCAGCTTGTAGCTGAACTTCACAGAAAGATATTTTCAAAATCACTTTATCCAAGTAGTTCCCAAGTACAATTCTTTCATGGGACAATGTTCATTTCAAAACCAAGTTCATGCCAACATGGTAGTACATGCCTGTAATTCCCCCTACTTGGAAGGCAGAGGTAGGAAGATAATGGTTCAAGGAGAGCTCAGAAAAGCAGTTAGTGAGATCCCTCTCCAAAACAAGAGAAATGTGGTGGTTCATCTTGTCATCTTAGCTACCCAGGAAGAAGAAGAAGGATCATGGTACCAGGCCAACAGTGGCAAAAATATGAGACTATATCTGAAAAACAAATTAAAGGTAAAAGGACTAGAAGTATTGCTCAAATGGCAGAAAACTTGCCTAGCAAACGTGAACATTAGACTTCAGTTCCAGTACCAAAGCCAAACCAAACTCCAACAAACACAATCAAAACAAAACAGGTTCAAGTTTGGATAAAATATTA